ACCGGCATCACTGTCCACAGTGAAGCAGGTTTCACATTGTCATGGACTGAAAAGCTGCCAACCGAGAAAGAAACCCGGGTTCCAGAATCAGCAACTTCAGACCTTACTGAAATTGGCAGCTGCTAACATAGACGAACTAAATGCCTTCTGGAGAAATATTTTATGGTCATCGGGACAAAGATTGAGCTATTTGGCCACAATGATAAGGAGAACACATGAACCTTTCTAACCTAAGAACATTGTACCAGCTGTTAAGCACGGTGGTGGTGGTGGTGGTATCATCATGCTCTGGGACTGTTTTTCTACCAGCGGTATTAGCACAATGCACAAATGGACAAAGTGGACAGAATAATTAAGGAGGACTATCTCCAAATTCTTCAGATTAAACGGTAGACAGTTGAAACTTGGACACAACTGGGCGTTCCAACAAGACAATGACCTCAGACATGCATCAAAACTTTTTGAATGGATAAAGCAGGCAGACATTAAACTGTTGGAATAGCCTTCCCAAAGCCCCGACATCAACCCAAAAGAAAATTTTTGGACTACATTTATATGACAGATTGGTATCGATTCTGTCAAGAAGAGTGGTAAATCACTTGGCCAGAAGTATCTGGTTGAGGTGCAACTTGCTAAGGGGAATTTAACCAGATATTAATGGGGATGTATCTATATATTTGAGTCTATATATTCCCCTCTCGCCCCTGCGTGCAGTCTGCCCTTCAAGCTCAGGTCCTCTACCAGAGGCCTGGGAGCTTGAGGGTCCTGCGTAGTATATTAGCTGTTCCTAGGACTGCGGTCTTCTGGACAGAGATCTCCGATGTTGTTCCCGGGATCTGCTGGAGCCACTCGCCTAGTTTGGGAGTCACCATATCTAGCGCTCCGATTACCACTGGGACCAGCGTTACCTTCACCCTCCACATTTTCTCAAGCTCTTCTCTGAGTCCTTGATATTTCTCGAGCTTCTCGTGTTCCTTCTTTCTGATGTTGCTGTCAGTTTCAGTTTGTCTACCACCACTATGTCAGGTTGGTTAGCCACCACCAGTTTGTCCGTCTGTATCTGGAAGTCCCACAGGATCTTAGCTCGGTCATTCTCTACCACCCTAGGGGGCGGCTCCCATTTTGACCTCAGGACTTCCAGGGCATATTCGGCACAGATGTTTCTGTATACTATGCCGGCCACTTGGTTAGTGCATTCCATGTATGCCCGGCCAGTCAGCATCTTACACCCTGCTGTTATGTGCTGGATTGTCTCAGGGGCATCTTCACATGGCCTGCACCTGAGGCTGGCTAGCTATCTATCTATCTATCTATCTATCTATCTATCTATCTATCTATCTATCTATACTTGTAATCTTGTATGCATTACAAAAAGTCCAAAATAAAGTCAAACTTGTATACCCAATTCTTGCTTTTAAAGTCATTAAACATTTATGTTGCACAATCATCCCATCCTGGAAAAAGAAGGGTTAAAAAAAAGTCCAAAATTACCACGGCACCCATGCTCATAACGAGTGTATATAAACTTTGACCACACCTGTACGTACAATAATAAAGGATGGTTTATCTGGGAGAACTTGCAACCGTTGAGGCTGCTTCAGCTAGTAGCACCTTTTCACCTATGGCAAAAATTGATAAAAGCAAACAGCATGCTCCAAACGTAGTGTTGTGACAAGTGAGCTATTAAGTACACCTGTATTTTGTGCTACTGCGAAAAATTGTATCTAGCAGTTGTAGAGCTTCACAGAGTGCTGACCCTATTCTGTAAATGTCAATCCATTCCCAACAAGTGTGAGAAAACAACATGTCTGCGGGGTTGAAGGGCGTTTAGCATTACACAAATAATTTTTCTGTCATTCCACAAAACAAACAAATGGGCATTGTTTGAGAGCTCAGTTAAAGAGGCTGGGAATACTCGGTGGAAGCAAACAATGACACAGCACAGTGTGTTAAATAAAAAGAAAATGCTGAATGGGAATGGATTTTGTATGCAGAGCCTGGCAAGCTCCTATTTAAATGAGTTACTGGAAACCCTGAATCAGTATTTCACTGTGACTAACAGCCACAGTGGTCACTAGTTTCACTTTCTCCATTTACAAAAGTAAGTATGCTGGAAAAAACCATTAGTCTTTGTACTTTAATGCACTTTAATGCACTTAAGTAACAGTGCTTTCTGGATAAATGCATTTCTTAAATATCATTAAGTAATATGTGTAAGTTTAGGAAAACTGTAATCTATTCATGGTGGTGTTAACTGTATTTCTCAACAATAATATCACATGAAATACATTTTTAATGTATGTGCATCTGTTCAGAAAAAACAGTTTAAATTACAATTTAGGTTCATTTTTATGGCAACTTTTGTGATATCAATGACTAAAAGACCATCGGCTCTGACTATTCAATGCCTAAAGAATTTGCCATTCTTGCCATACTGAACATAATGAGTCTTTTTGTGATGTTAGAAGCCAGCTGCAAGCCAATCCCTGATCTTGTTACAATGGAACATTCTTCGATTTGAGCTGGCCACTGAAGGTTTTATGCGCCTCGGTGCGGAGGTGAACCTGCTCCGGGCTTTTAGAACAGCTTCTGATTCGGACCTTTGTTTCAAAGTCTTTACAAAGCTTACTGTCTGGGCTCTGAGGTGGAGCTGCTTGGCAGGAGGCCTGTTCAACCCCTGAGCTCTGCACAGAGTTCTAAAGCGCAGCTACCTTTGATGAAGGCATTGCAGGTTGTCAGGATGCCAACAGGCCTCAGCCATTACTGCAAATGCAAATTGCTCTAATGGAATGTATTCAAAGTCGCAGCAGAGCTCCATTTAAAAAGTAACACCATTAATATGCGCTCAAAGGAAGAAAGTGTGCCTATAAATGGAATTATATAAAAATAAAATATTTTTTAGAATCTATTTGTCAAGTCATTTCTTAAATGCCAAACAGTGCAGTCCTCCTGGCTTCAGTAGCAGTATTAATATATTCACCCATCACTCACTGATCTTGCTTCTTCTTTTAAAGCTTGTTTTTGCCATGAAGAACTCAAGTCAAAGAAAAATGTGATCAGAGTACTGCAAGTCAAGAACATTGGTTCTTGGTTTCAGCCAAACCTTAGCTTAATATGATTCCAAATAAAATGTGTGAATTCTTTAAAATATAAAGAGGGAAAAAAATACTGATATGTAACAATGTATCCAAATTATTCGTTTGTGTATTCACAGAATTTTGCAGTATGCTGCTCACTAAATACAAAACGATGGGGTTTCCAAATATGTGGCCACTTATTTTCTCTAAAGGATAATGACAAAAAGGCCGGCTCTGTAGAGGACAAAAAGGAAATTTTAAGCTATTTAACTTCATTTGGATTTTAGCAGGTGAATAGAATTGTGGGTTTAGTTTGAATTCTAAAAATTGGTTGGTACATAGGCAGGATTATGAATATGATCTTTGAAATTTTGATGTTTGAAAGAAAATGTGTTTTTATTTATTAATTTATTTTTACACACATGAGTTAATGGATAGTTGTACATATATTTATTTGTGTTACAGTTTTTCTCAGTCGCTTTGGTGCTTTTCTCAGATCAAAATGAAAATTCTCAAAAGCATTAGTGCAATCTCCACAACATTTAGTCATTTGTGCACATCACAGTAGCAATTTCTCCTTCCTCTGAACAAATTGCAAATGCTCTTGGACATGTATCAGTTGCTTTCATACAATTCTCTGCCCTCGACAACATTATCATTTGCTTATGTCATGTCAGTCAAAATGAACTATACTTTTGGATGCTAAATAGTCGTTCCCAATAAAACCAATAGTCTTTATTTCATTGTTTGAGTCATTACATACAAAATTGTTGAACTAGTTTTCAAATGCCGTCAAGCAAATGTTATACCTTTTTGTCATTATTTTTCCTGTCCCCGAAATTGAACAATTTCTCTCATGCCATAGTCCCTGAGAATGACAGGGGTGGAGGTCAACTCAACAAGTATGTTGTTGTTTGGGATAATGTCCCTTTTCACTACTCACATCTGGTCAGACAGTGGTTTGCAGCACATGACAGAATGCCTGTTGAATATCTCCCTCCCTACTCCCCATTCCTTAATCCGATAGAGGAGTTTTTGTCTGCCTGGAGGTGGAAGGTTTATTCACATGCACAAATGGCCCTGCTAGCAGCCATGGATGCAGCATGTGACGACATCACAGCAGAGTCATGCAGAGGGTGGATTCACCACTCCAGGAGATACTTTCCTCGCTGCATTGCAAGGGATGATATCTGTTGTGATGTAGATGAGAATATGTGGCCAGACAGACAGGGACGTCTGAATGTGCCAGAATGATTTACGTATGTTCAGTTACAATATGTACTGTTATATTGTTCACATTGTGCACCGCTCTACCAAAAGGGTGTTTCTCATGTTTATTCTAAATATGTGACTGTAGAGTATTTTTCCTTTGCACAATGTTGTAGAATTACAAACATCCTACACAGTAAAAATGTGAAACATACGTATTCAGTGTCTTGTACTCACTTACTTCCATAACTACAGGAATGTCTAACTTTACTGTAGATTTTACTGCACATGGCTGTGCAAAAAGTGTATAGTGCTGTCTTGAGCATTTTCAGGACGTGTCACCGAGTTCTAACCTTTTTTTTGCACTGGAAGACACTGAGAGAATACTGTACACTGTCATAATGAAAACATTACAAAGCCATTTGATTATCTTGTTCATCAAGATGGTGTCAAGACTTCTCATTTTGATGACACTGACAGTTTCATTGACATGAATACTGGATTATCAATTTTGAGCAAGTGACCTGCTTTTGCAGGTTATCCACTAGGTTTAGCAGTTTGCACTAATTGTTTTGAGAAATACACTAACTGATGTGCAAATGTTAATAGTGATGTGAGAAAAGCACCAAAGCGACTGAGAAAAACTGTAAGAGAGGAAAGGTCTTGACTGTTGGATGGGATTTTCTCAAAGTCAGTGTACAGTGCCTAGAGTACCTGGAAGCTCTTTATCTCCTTTCATCCATCTGATGATGGCAGCAGGCTTACTGCTCATGGCAGTGCAGGTCATCTCTGTCTCGTTGCCCTCGCTCAGGACCTCATCCCGGGCCTCAATGATGGGGTTACCTGGAGGAACTATGACAGGACACACAAACAGAACTGTGTAAACACTGAGGCAATGCAGTCCACCCTAAAAACCACAAGCTAAGAAGAAAACAGGACTGATATTAGAAGGCTTTTCTTTTAAAATTAGAATTAGAAAAGTGCAAAAATCTAATTCAGGAATTATCATTTGCAATACTGTGAACATGTTGGATCTCGTTTAAATAACTCATATTTTGTAGTAATTTATTTCATATAAACTCACCAGCCACTTTGTTAGATACAACTGTTCAACTAATAATAACACTAACTAGCCAGCCAATCACACGACAGCATTTAGGCATGTAAACATGATTGGAATAACCTGCTGAGGTCCAAAGCAAACATCAGCATTGCATGGTTGCTGGTGTTTCAAAATCTACCAGATTTACTGGAGTTTCTCTGCACAACGACCTCCAAGGGAACCAGAGAATGGTTCGTAAAAGATCAAATATCCAGCGAGTGGCAGTTCTCTGGGCCATTTTGTTGTCATAGGTCAGAGGACAACGGCCAGACTGCTTCAAGCTGACAGGAAAGCAAAAGTAACTCAAACAACCACTTACTCGTAGCAACCACCTGTAGCAGATGGGCTACAGCAGCAGACACACTGGATGGCACACTAGGGGTCCTTTAGGGCCAACTGACCATCATTTAAACACCACAGCCTACCTAAGTACTGTTGCTGTTCCATGTCCACGCCTTTATGACCATAGTGTGCCCATTTTCTGATGGCTGCTGATGGCTGCTTCTACCAGAATAACACGCCGTGTCACTAAATTCAAATCAACTCATGTTTCCTCCACAGTCAGTAGATCTCAGTCCAACAGAGCACGGCTGAGGTGAGGTGGAACAGGAGATTTACATCATGGAAACGACAGCAACTGTGCGATGCTATCATGACAATATGGAACAAAGTTGCTGAGGAGTGTTTCCACCACTGAATAATTAAGACGGCTCTGAAGGCAAAATGGGTCCAACACAGTACTAGCAAGGTGTATCTAATGAAGTGGCCACTAAGTGTTTTTACAGTTACAGATGACAAATATTTTAAAAATCTGACAATCACGAGCTTGAAACACTGAAAACATAAAACAATAAACACAAAGTTTAAAAAATGCATGTTGATGTCATATTATTATGTTCATATTTATCAGCTATTATCACAACAGCATTTATAGAGCAATATTGTTCAGTTATAGTTAAAAGTCCCAAGATTTGTTTCCAAAATATCCTAGTAAAGGTATGCCTACTTATAAAGTTGGGCTAGTCTCTAAATTTAAGGAAAACTGTGAAAATATTATTGAAAAAGTTATATTTTGTTTATTATTTGAACACCTTTCTCACTAAGCTCACCATAAAAAGCCTAAAACAATCTCACGTCTCACACATCTATACAAATACAGTTTATTAATGTGTTAAGACCTTGTGTAGACTAATTGCTGTTTAACTCACTCAGTTCTAACAATAACACTGAGCGTTTGTCTGCACATGTATGTATATGTTTGTGCGCTTTGTTACTTAGCACTGTGATTTCAGCGTAGGCCTCCTGCGGGGGGTCTGTGTACAGCTGGCAAACATATCGACCCTCGTCTGACAGCGAGACATTAGACAGTGACACCCGCAGCTCGTTGTCTGAGAAGTTCACGAGCTGAAAGCGAGAGTCTTTCAGTGCTGAAAGAGAAAAAAACACACACACACACACAACTTTATATTATTATTATTATTATTATAGTATATTCAAAAATGTAGAAGTCTGCTTTATATGACTTTATGAAGTTAGTATTGTTCATGCAATTTAAAAGGGAAGTTGCATTCATGCTGCTGTTTGTCATTATTCAGGATTTAGTAATATAAAGGTATGTGATCCCGTACTCCTTTAAGTGTGATTTGACCAGTAGTCTTAAAATGAGGCTTATAGCTAATAGTGAGACATATTATTAGCTCGTGATTATTGTTACATGTTAAAAAAAGGATTTGCAGCATCCAATAGAGCAGGGTGTGAGACAAACATCCTGTTATTTCATTAAAGAAACAACAACATTAGATCATAATGTAAAATGTGCATTTTATTTATTTTTGGCCTCAAAAGAATCTGTGTATAAAGCACAAAATACATCAAACTGTCCACTGCCTTAGGTCAACTCCACTAGAGCTGTAACTTCTTCCTGTAAAGAGCCACGACAGCAGACCATCTGCCTCCACCTCACTTTATCTCTAGCATCCTCTTGTGTTACATCGACCTTCTGCATCTCCTTCTTCACTACATCCACTCTGTGCTCTTCTTGTTTTCCTCCTTCCTGGCAGCTCCACCTCCAACATCCTTTCTCCAGTGTATCCACTATCCTTCCTCTGCACATGTTCAAATCATCTCCGCTTCCCCTCTCTAACTTTATTCCCAAACTGCTCAACCTGAGCTGTGCTTCTGATGGACTCCTTTCTAATCTCCAATGACAATCTTTAGACTTTCAGCTCTCCATCTTCACCTCCTGTGCCATCACCAAACCATACATCACAGTAAGACTCACTAACATCTTGTAAACCTTCCCTTTCACTCTTGCTACTTTTCATCTGCACCCACTCCACCCTGCCTGCACTCTTTCTCACCTCTCTTGAGCATCGTCCATCGCTTTAGATGGTTGACCCCAGGTATTTAAACTCATCCAGCTTCACTGATATACTAAATTCTAATGCTCTCCATTCGGGTCACTCCCAACAAAAATCTGGGCCTATAAAATTCTGCCACCTCCAGCTTTGTTAGCACCACCATCTCCAACTTATACCTCCAGTTTTTAAATACAGACTCAAACATGACAATTTAAGTGTGCTCCTTATGACAAATAGCAAGTGAGAAAGACTACTTACTATTTTAACTTTCTATAGCTTTTTGTCCATCATAAGCATGAGAAAAAAAACATTATTAAAGAAGCCATTCATTTTTAATTTTACTTTACAAAAACAATACTGTAATAAAAACGACAGGACTTTGGTATTTTCTGTTTCTTTTTCCTTCGTTAAGGCAGTAGGCGTAAATCTGGTAAAAAAAAATATTTTAGAAATTTGAATTTATTTATATGGACAAATACGAGCCAACCATTGTTGTTTTCACAACCTCAAACTGTACTCAAAGAGCTTTCACATGGGTAAAAAAACCCTCAATATAATTAGTCAACAATCAATCACAGAGCTAAGTGTGCAACTCTGTAAAGCACTTTGTTACTCGCTTCTATTCAATCCAAAATGCAGTTTTGTTCACACATACTGTGGCTGTTAACAGCGTTGTTTGCATTAACACAAGCCTCATCCTTGGCCGTCCTTCAGCGAGCCTACACAGCAATTGAGAGCAGTTCCATAAATCCTGTCTCTTCTTCATCTGTAGTCACTTTCATCTTGCCTAACCTTGTTTGCCCACCTACCTAAGCACACTCTATCAGCTCTAATGTAGAATGACAACATGTGGTTAAGATGAAAGCCTACCCATACCCATCCCCTCTTCGATGTGCTGATAAACTCTGCTCTGACTGACAGCAACTCCAGGTTCTCTGCACTCTGCACTCTCTTAGATCTGTGTACTCATCCTCTGGCACTCTTTTTTTTCTAACAGCTTAAAGTATTAAACACGGAGACTTCTGACACAAAACACCTCAAAACAGACATGAATAGACAGAAGAACCTCCGGGGTCCATTATAATTTTACACGGCTTCCGCGGCCATACGTTATCAGGATTTAAAGCTGAGAGGCATTGTAGACATGCAAAAAGCAAGAGGCTAAAACCGATTTTGTGCATCATTATTTGCATCAGATAGATTTAAAATAATATCACCAGGCTGACTAGAAAAAAAATCTGCATCCAAATATGCATCTGTGCTCTTCTTTGGCCGAAAAAGAAAGCCTAAAAACGCTGGCCATGATGTTGGATGATCTGAACAAGAGATCACTAAGATGCTGCTGTTATCCCGGTACTTCTCTTAGTCTTTGATTATTCTGCCAGAAAATCCTGCTCACAACACTACAACAAATTGCTAAGAAGCAGTGCAAACAATCCAGAAAAGATTTAATGATGCTGTGTTAAAGTGTGGCATACAAGAAAGTTATTTTCCATAAAAGCTCTTATTTCATCTGAATACATATTCCTCACCTTTTCCAAAGAGAAAGAAAAAAAAAAAAACAGGCAACTTATATGCTTGGTTCCATTAGCGCAGCTATTAGTTTCTTTTGTCTAACTACAATGAAACCCTTATTCTAGGAGATGAATAATGTGCCCCTAATTAGTGTTGCTCATTCAAACGCCTTGTTAGCCCTCATTAAAATGAGAGGTCAGCATCTAATCCTAATGATTTAATTGAATTAAATGTTCCCAGATTCATACACACCCATGCTACAATACAGAGATGCAAAGAAAAAAAAAAACACCTGGAAAGGCTCTAATAAGCAAAACTGTTACTGACGAGACATGTTCTTCCTTTTTAAAGAAGCGACTTTTGTATTAACATCCAATGTTGTGTGTTTCAAAGAGAAGGATAGTCAGTGTAATCCAGCATGCAAATATTTATGGCACTGTAATGTATCTCACTGAGGAAACACAACAATTTATTTGTTAAAGGAGCTTAGAATAATCCAAAAAACCTGTAAAAGGTTTCTGGAGGTCACTAAAAAACAAAATAGAATTTGAAGAAGTGTTAAATCTTAAGAGGATATAAAACACAACATCATCAGTATAAACCTGGATTTTGCTGTATGGAGGAGCAGTAGTTCAATGTCCAAATGACAACAGAGTGGCTCTCATTTTTCCTAGAAACTAAAATTAGGTAAAAAAGAAAAAATCTGCTAATTCGTTGTTTTTACATTTATCAGGCCCCAATCAGCCCAAATATCAAAGAGAAATTAAAAATGCATGCCGTGGAAGAGTTCGGGTCTTAGGACGTTAATGTTAAACTCGTTGGGGGGCTGCTCAGATGGATCAGTCTTACCCACACGTGATGTTATTTTCTGTGATTACACGTGTATGACATGGGAGAAAAAAATGCAAACAAATCAATTTTGTCAATCTTTATACTGGCTGCAAACTGTAGCTCAAATCGTAGAAAGAGGGTCAGAAAGCACAACACCAATCCATCTGACCAAATAAGAGGTGCTAGTAATTAGCCATGAAACAAAAACACGTCATCAGAAAATGTTATATATCCTGCAACGACACAATAAAACCCAGCCATAAACATATATGCCTGGGTTCAGAAATGCACCATCAAGCAACCCAAGCTTAGCTAAAACCCTAAACATCTTATGCTGTGGATACTTTAAAACATCCATAAATTAATGAAAAATCTGGTGCGTCAACAATTTAAAAAACCCGTGCCAATCAGATATAATCCATTCCATAAAAGCATTTCTCAAAAATCTCTTAATCCTCTTATGTGTCACTTCTAACTAAGGCGTTGCCGTGTAAGCATGAACTGAATAAATACTTTCTAAAAAATAATGAAAAGAAAAATGGAAGCACTTTGGCAAGGACAGCTCCCCATGCTCAAGGTTTGGGACAACAATACTGCAGGCTCAAAGAGATGCAAGGGCATATGACGGAGAACAGCCTGGTTAACACAGCAGGACTGAACACAGTGGCACATTTCAGGAAAAAAAACACAAGACAAGGCAAGCCAAGAAACGCTGCAGACGGTCCTTTTATTGTAACATCACAGCAAACTGGAATACATATTTCACTTTTCTTTGTGTACCAGGCAGAAAAGAGAGTGACCTTTTATCTTCATGCTCTTTTTGTCCCGTTCTCCTTCTCTTGTTCTATCATATCTGATAGCATAGCAGGGACATCACAGATGCCCGACAAAGGTAATTGATAGTCAGGTCTTTGGATAAGAGATGTCTGTCCAGACCCTGAAAGGCTGTAAATTATCTGATGTATCTGTTTTTGCAGTTTATGGTGATTGAGCTAATTTAAAAGCAGTGATAAGATTGTACAGTAGAGCTGTCCTGAAGTTTAGCCAAGGAGACTTTAAGAGGAAGCTGACTTTCCACCTCCCTCTTAAGAGTCGCTGAGTGCAGTGCCACTGGGCATGCTAATTAGAGCTAACTAACAGCATGGTGGCTTTAATGAATCCCATTCATTAGTATGTTGTCACCACTTTAAGTTTATTTTATAGCAATATGAAAAACTAGGCTATTGTCTTCTGACTTGGCCTGTGGGGACGGCAGCCAATATGTTGGGGCTTCCGGTATAAACTGACATCCTGTTCAATTAGCCGGCCAGATTTAGAAATCTAAACGAGTGAAATACTTGTACCAATTTCAGTCAATCATCACTGATGACCCTAAACCTAGGCTATAAGAACACAAACAAAGTACATCATCATTCTAACGGACACATATCAAAAAATGATTTTTTTAGCAGGATGTGAACTCAAAAAACACAGCTTTGTTGCTGGAAAAAAGCAAAACGGTACAAAACTAAACTGGGAAATTCTAATGACTATTCACACGGGGAAACACAGGGAGAGTCGCACAGCTATGAGGGAGGACACGACACATAACTGAGGGAGACGCGGACATAAATACACAGAAGGATCATGAGGGAAGCGAGAACACACGGGGAGCACAGCTGACACGAATAACCATGATGAGACAGTGGAAGAGCAAACACAAGATGACGCACACTGACGGG